TTTATGCTGTGTACAAAAGATACACGGATAATTGGAACTAAATCCAGCAAGTCCGAACACATACACAGCATTCATCAAATCACCACCAAGTCGTATAGGTATATCAACAATTTTTGAACCTAGAGAAATCTTTTTGACTGATTTAATATCAGCAATAAATTCTGTTGGAAGAGTTGTACGTAACAATTCAGTATTTTCTTTTTGTACTTCGAAGAGACCTAACGGGACAAGATTTTTTGAACTTTGGCATGGATAACCGCCTTCAATACAATTAATTGATATCGCAACTATATGTTTATTTCCTATCAAAGTACCATCCATATTGAAACGAACATTAAGTGTATCAAACTGTTCAAGCTTTGGCTCATGTTTACGCGCAACAAAAATTGCAGTACGTACAGCATATTCAAATCTAACATATGCGCTTGTTTTCGTGAACAAAATGGGAAACTTAGAATTGGTTTTTATCCTAAGTCGTTCAATTTCGGCTAAAGAACACAATTTCTTTTTACTTTTAATAAACTGAAAAATAGCATTGAAAGCACCATCTGTTAAATGATAGGTATCTTTCAAATGTAACAAATCTCGTTTATCTTTAGAAAGTTTTATCTCTCTATATTTATTTCGATTAGGCTCAATTGCAATAGAGTCTGCTTCATATGAACGTTTTATACCACGTGTGGTATAGGTACGACCAATAATAGTATCGATCTCAGCTGCAGAAAAAGATTGATGATCATCAACAGCATATTGATCATCACTTGTTCGTATACAATCCTTTTTGTTAAGTTTTAAAACAACAGTAAGCAAACGAGGAGCAGGAGAGAATGTAGAACGACAAGATAATATTTCTGTTTTTAACATTTCTAAAAGATTTTCAACATCTAAATTTATATTACGTGTTAACGCACATTCTCGAATAAGATAAGAAAGATCATCAACATACATTACTCCAACTAAATCAAAGGAAGATAAAGCTTCTTCTATCCAAATTTCATTAAAAGTAACATCTACTGAATTAGAATGTGGATAAAATTGTAAAAGATAATTTTTTTCATTTGATGCTCGAAGCAAGAGAATAGAACTCATTGAATCATCATTTCGATACTGTTGGTAATCTTTAATAGGAGGAACTTGTTTCAATGGCTTGATACATTTGAATACAAGAGTAAAAAATGAACTCATACGTAGACTATTGATGATACTTTTTCCACCAGCACGTTCACGTGCTGATTGTAAGATATGACCTATTTGTCGGCTTAGTTCATTTTTTAATGCACGAACATCAATAGAAAATCTAAGTTCGACAAAAACATATGAACAAATATCCCGAAGAATCTTTTCCAGATTCATTGGTTTTATGGTCATAGAAAGAGAATACTTGAAATAATCAGAAAGGTAATCGAAAGAAACCTCTACTGTCAATATGTTATTACACATGGAAAAAGAAATTGACGAAGAAGAAGAGGAAGAAAGAGGAGAAGAAGGAGTAGAAGAACGAGAAGGAGAAAAAAAAGAACGCGATGATGATGATGATGATAATAATTGACTATCTGAGTCATTATGAATACTATCATCATTAGCACTACTTTCTGATACTTCTTCATTCGATGAAACATTAGGTACAACAGTATCTTGAATAGATTCAAGAGCATTTAATGGCAGATAAATAGACAAAACAGTTGGTGAAATTTCTTTTTTTTTCGACCAAAGAAGAGAAACGGCGTTTTTACAAGCTTTGACGATTAAATTTTTATTTGCTTTTTTTTCTTTTCTCTTCAAAATAGTATTTACTTTATTAACAACATTATCAATTGCATGTAAACTTTTTAATTCGGCAATTGATCCACACATAGACACATCGATCTCGGTCTTCAACGTTTTACTCATTTTGATATCAACAAAATAAACAAACGAACGAAAATAATTTTCTTGATTAACCTTGTTTTTAATTTTGATTTGCTAGTCTTATCAAATTGTTTTTTAACAAAAATCAACACTATACGTGATAAGCTTTCGAAATATTGAATGAAAAAGATCAACAACTAAGTGATTCTATTTCATCATTCCACATGGCGAAATCCTCTCTTTTTCTTTTTTTCTCTCATGTCTTAGCTGCTTTTCCTATTGGTTCAGAACTAGCACTATAAATGATCATCAGATGTTGTTAAATGATGATGAAAAAATCTTTTTACAAATGAAAAAGTCGTAAATAAAGATTATCATGAGAATATTAATTCTATTTAATCTAATATTCAAGCCAGAGAAAATTCCGTACAAAAAGAATATCGATTGGAGTTAAGATGAATATATTTTGAAGAATTTAAAAAAAAATATATTGATATCATATTATTCTGTCAAACTGAAATCGTCATCAACCTCTATTACCATCTTCTCTACCAAAGAAATCCCGACCACCAACTCAGAAGAGACTCGAAGCATGTTTATTATATTTATATCCTTATATACAAAAAATTATTTATTCTGGTGCAATTGATAGAAAGAGAGGACACATAAGATCTGGAAAAATTCCTATCAATCCTGAACAATTTGCCCTGATTCAGAAGCTTGGTGGTACACTTCAATATGGGCAAATAGCACTACTCTAACAAATCCTTCAGCTTCAATATGATTTCGAATACAAAGGATACCGTCGTGGTGTTCAAAATCTACAGTTTAGGATACAAAAACAGAAGTCAGTAATTGTTGGAAAAAATTCTCTTCTGTTGTTGCGCCTTCGATTTCAACAACAACAACCGGTATTAATTGGATGATTTGTTATGTTGTAGCTGCTTAATATGTATTTATGAAACTATTCCTATTTTCTGTTTCTTCTTGAAAACTAATTTTAATTTCAATAAATTACTGTTTTGAAAAAGCTCTTCAATCAATTCTTATTTCGTTCTTGTTGATGTTCAAACAGTTTCATGTACATGATTTGAGTAAAAACATTTATGATGACTCATATCGAGATATGACTGTCTAGAAATTGAGTAGCATATAATGATGTTGTTGTTTATGAACGTTCTCTTGCTGATTGATCATCAATATAAAATGGAGAACGGTATGTGAGAAAGAAAAGAGAGAAGTACTTCGCATGTAGCAGAGTGGCTAATACAGTGTGGAGAACGCGATACTGGTTCGATTCCAGTACGAAGCTTTTTTTTTTCTCGTTCTGTTGCGTTAATATCCATTGATTTTTGGAATTTTTTTTTTGCTTATGATCAGAGGTACCCTCTTGAGATCTCAACGGCGACGGGGGTTATCAACCATGCTGATTCCGAATATGCAATTATTTTTTCCCGGGAACTCTTCCTTCAAAACACCTCTACGGTGATATGTATCGCATATTTAAAATTTGTTAGTTTCTCAAAAGGAAGAGAAAAATGCATCAATATCGACATGTCCAATCAATTTTTTCTACACATGATGATGATTGCATGTGCAAGTACGCCTCCGAGCAAAACTGAATCTGTGCTTGTTTCTAAAGAGAAATAGAAAAATGTTTTTTTTTTAATACTGTTCGACTAACCGTGATTTTACGAGTGTCCTTCTAGCCAATCGCTATGCTTCATATGCATTATAAAGGCAAATATCGATTTTTTTTTTCGTAGATTTCTCTCTCGCGCGCGCGATCGGTGGGTATATAAGAGTGAGAGCACCAGTGTAAAAATCACAAACATACATTTATACTAACTCGACTGTCTATCCATATTTCTTCTCGAATTAACGGCTACGAAATGAACAACATCAAAACCGTGGTTTATTTTCTTCTTATCTGGACATCCTTGGCAATATGCTGCAACGCATGGAAAAAGGATCAAGATTCGGAAGACACCGGTCGTCGCAGCGTGTACCAAGACAACGTCAAGGAATTACTCAAGCGACATCCTTGGAAAAATGTTTGTTCTGGTGTTACTTTTTCTTGTGGTTCTGGTTCTGGTCATACGAATGCGTGTTTTTGTGTTGGTCGTACTTGTCCTGATGGTTGTGATAGTGATAGTGATTGTTGTACTGCTACTGTTAATGGTATTCGTTATGTTGGTTATTGTCTTGAACGTTTTAATTCTGCTTATTGTCGTTATCGTCCTAGTTCTCGGTAAGTCATGTATGTTGTGTCAATATAGCGTTCCGATGATAATTCACCGAGAGAATGCCGCGGATATTTTATTCCATCATTCGTACATTCTTTTTTTTGAGATTATCTTTTCGAGTACTTTATGGTGCTGAATTAATTCATTATTTTTTCTTTGTAGGTAATATGGCACAACCATACAATACCAAAAACCGAATATTCTCTTCGAATATTATCAGTATCGAACATTATTGACTAGTGTGTTTTCTTCTCTATTTTTATCAAATTTTTTTCCTCCTATAATATTGTCAATTATTTTTTCTCCTATAGTATTCTCAATTACTTTTCCTGATATAGTATTCTCAACTACTTTTCCCGTTTACTTTTTTTGTATTTTCACAAATTTCAGTTCTAATAAAACATATGCACCGTAATCATACCCTAGTGGGCTTCTTGAGAACAAGACAAAATATGTACAATAATTATGAATAATGTATATTTTTAGTTCATGAGTTCAAAATCACGCATTCAATTTATTATAAGTTTTATTTAATGAAACACAGCACTAATAAAATCCTCTTATCTTATGTATTGGCGATCGACCCGACCTGACCAGAGCATGACTTGACCCGACCCGAGGTCAAACATACTTTTTGGCCAATTAAAGTAAGTTTTTTGAGGAATTAAGCATTTTTTTTAATGAATCTGTACGAACACTCACAAAATAGACAAGAACGAAGTCATTATCTCATTGAGAACTCGTGTTTTTCTTATGTAAACCTCGACATCGATCAATTTATTATGACCCGACCCGAGTCGGACACTGCTCTACATTACGTAGAGCTATATCGTGCTACTATTCTGTCAGGCTACGGTTAAGTGAATCGACTTTCGATGAGCGTTACTTGTCATTTGGGATGATACCTATATATATACTCATAAAAGTGAAGATCATAAATTACAGCAAGAAATCTATTCTGGACAAAAATCTCGTCACTTAATCAAATTTATGTCTTTAATTTTACCTGATGGTTATGTTTTGGATTCAGTTGGGCCCTTTTAGGGGTAAAGATAATGATGCTAAAATTTCAAACGTAGATCTTTTATCATATTGACATTATTTTGTAACAGGAAGAAAAGGTTTGTGTTTATAATAGTGAATTTTTAATTAGTTTTTAATATGAAAGTAAAAGAACTAGTCATAACATAAGGATATGAACCTCCCTCCCCCCCCCCCCACAGAATAGAAACCCACGGGGGGGGGGGTGCCTTTGTTTCGCAAGCTACAAGTTTCGAAGCAGGCTTTTATTAACATTTGTTTTTCTACTAATTGATAGAAAAGTCTTTCTTCGTGCGCTTTTCATTGATTTGTGTCCCTTTTGAACAAGGTGAACCATTATTTTTTTCGAGCGAATTTTAACCCTTGGGGTGGGCTTTTATTCTGTGGGGGGTTTATAGCAATCAGAACAAAACTGATCGTTTGTTTTCTATGAATTTTTCTACACTAGAACATTTCGGGATTTTTCAACCATACCGATGCGGTCTGTTTTCATAGTCACCAATATTTTGTTGTGAATATAAGAAATGTATGTAATGCGCGTTTTAAATATTTCTTTCTAATCATTAGTTCGGAAAAACTGAATAGTTGAAATCAAGCTATAATATTTATATAAAAAGGTGAAGCACATAAATGTATATTTTCAATCTTTACCTGTATCCTATAGGCGCATATATTCCACGAGTGAAAAAAGTGTAGAAAAAATAAATGTTTCAACAAATCCTAACGTGAAAAACAAATTCATTAAGAATGATAAAATTTTTCATATTTCGATCAGTTGTTATCAAATAAAAAAGATTCAGTGGAAGTCATTACATGTTTTTTATTCATTGACGGTTTGTCTATGATTAGTACTAGGGAATTTTTACGTTGAGAATGAGCAAACTAATTTTTGTGTCCATGATTTTGAATATATATTAGTTTTCATGAGTTTAACAAGGTTTCTAATACTTTGAAACGAAAAAGAACCTATTTCCAAATGCGAAAAAATTATTATTAAATACTATTCACTCATGTAGATAATTTTCGGAAGGTAAACGCGTCCAAAAGCAGTTGAAACCATTGTCTTTCAGAAGTGGTACAAGAGTTTGTCTGAACCATAACTAGATGTGTTTGTTTTGTTTCATCTTCACATACGTCCTTTTATGTGATGTATACTAATATATTTTGCTTTTTATTAAGGTTATTCTCGAGATGAATGATAATCTATCTATCATCTGGGAGCCAGATGACACAAAAATTGTCGATAGAGGGTTTAGAAACGTCGCCAGTGTTTTCGAAGAATTAGGTTTTGCTGTAAAAATGCCTGAATTTCTTCAAAAACGTGCAAAACAACTTACTGCCGAGCAAGCGAATGATACAAGAATGACAACAAAAACAAGATGGGTGGTGAAATCTTTCGATTCTCAATTTAAAAAGTGGCGTTTCTTTTCTGAACATATTGCCTAGCATTTTATTGTTAACATCGAAATACTGGTCAGAACATTAGCTGCTAGTTTAAACAAATATCCGGCTCGTCTTTATGAAGGTAAATCACCCTGAAGGCTATGCTTTAGCCAATGGGCGTGTTCCACGAGAAAACCATCTTAAGAACGGCTGAGCATATCGAGCTGTCTCCTGGTACTTAAGGGTTTCTCGACCTGCTCTTTCTTTTGTCTAGCAGACACTTTTGTCCGAAATGCTCGAAAGTAGGTTTTCTAGAAAACCATGGTTTTAGAACCAATGATCGCGGAAGATTTTTTGTTTTAACAGTCTATAGCGATAGAGCAACCAATTCTCTACAAAATCAGATGTCTCCGAACTCTCTACGACATTTTTTAGTCGAGTTACATCAATTTTAGTGAAGAGCAAAAACCATTTTTTCGTTTTTTCCCAAAGGAAATGGCAGAAAAAAGTGGCTTTTGCTCTTCACTAAAATTGGTGTAACTCGACTAAAAAATGTCGTAGAGAGTTCGGAGACATCTGGTTTTGTAGAGAATTGGTTGCTCTATCACTATAGACTGTTAAAACAAAAAAGTCTTCCGCGATCATTGGTTCCAAAACCATGGTTTTCTGGAAAACCTACTTTCGAGCATTTCGGACAAAAGTGTCTGCTAGACAAAAGAAAGAGCAGGTCGAGAAACCCTTAAGTATCAGGGGACAGCTCGATATGTTCAACCGTTCTTAAGATGGTTTTCTCGTGGAACACGCCTATTCTAAATGCTTCCTATTATTTGTCCAGATCGAGCTACTGCATCGATTTTATTCGTACTATAGTATCTGAAATAGGGGTGGCACATTTACTTTACTTTTTCGAAAGTAAATAAGTAAAGTAAAGGTAAAGTTCCGTCCCTAATCCAAAAAAATCCGGAACCACGATACGAATCACACTTCAACAATGAAAACCATTACACTGAACTGATGATACAACTCATAAGCATTGAAGTCCTCAAATACTACCACCCATAACTCAGCAAGTAAAGATTCAATAACAGTTCTGAGAGTGTTAGACATACTTTAGACTATCTAAACCGTAAAAATAGAAGAACAAAGGAGTTTTTGAGCGAGCTAGACAAGTTGTGGAACTGAGACGACGGTAGCAGTCAGAGTGCAATCGGTTCATCATGTCTGTACTACAGTACTTTGGTGTCAAATTCAGTATGAAAATTTGATTTTTTTCAGTTTTGATGTCTTTTGCTCCTTCGCATTTTCCATAAGCAACACAAGATAGTTATTATGTATTCTGGGTGTGATCGTATAGAGACTGCTACCAGCTACAATTAACGCTACTTCAAAGAGTGATAGCTATTAATAAATATAAATAATTATTCATATTATGTATAACTGTCTCTTATCCCATCTTGATTTTTTTATTTCCCTGGTAAGCGTTTATTATAGTTTTACAGTTCTATAATATACTTGCACACAGCATCTATCATTTGCCAATAGCGATTTATTTAATCATTCTGATTCGCTTAGTTATGAAAGAAATGGACATTGATTCTGACAATGATAGCGGTAATCGTGGTCATAGTGGTTTTCGTTTTGGTACTGAGCGCGGGTGAAAGAAGCAAAACAATGATTAGATATGCTCGTTAATACTACGATATACGAATTAACTATTATCCTTTGTTAGAAGGGTCTATAAATAATAGAAAGACGAAGGTGATGAAGTCAGTATGGATGCATAATGTAACGTTGAATAATCTTTTATTAAACAAAAACCTTCCGCATAATACTTCTGGACTAACTGACTCGAGTAGTTCTTAGTTGCTTAAGATGCTGCTGTTCAAGGTAGATCAGTCATTGTTTGTATGAAATAAATAAGTTTTAAAACTTGATAAAACTTATGTCACACTTTTTTGGACATACATTTTTGTCTATTCTTCTTACAAAGACAATTCAATGATTAGTTGATATGTTTATATCATCTGATAGTCCATAGCGTCCTCTAGCAAACACTAAAGTATGGTCATAAAATAACAAAAAACCATTGCAGGAGAAGTGACTAACTAAACAGACCCTTATCCTGAATTTGACACCAAAGTACTGTAGTTCGACGCAAACATGAAGAAACTCGTTACCATCATTTTCTACAGTAAAACAACGGTTTATACGTAGGCGTATATTGCAGGCATCAACTACTGCGTTAGTCCATTAGGGTCTGTGACTCTTCTTGGTGGCGCACTCGAGACTATCAACCAAACCGATATTTATTCAATAGTTATTGTACAGCCCAGAAAAACAAACAAAGAAATCGTTTAGAGTTTCTTATGAATCTTTTCGAGTGTCTCCCGATATTCCAATAGATGTGGATGTGTTGCCGGCAGCTTCTCTTGAGCCATTTCAACTGCTAGTTGTAAATGTTTCAATGCTTCGCGATATTGTCGAGTGTCATAATACACAATACCGATACTGTGATATGTCCCTGCTAAATTCGAATGAACTGCAGATAATAACTTCTCTTGAATTTCCAGTGCCTTCGTGCAAAATTTCATTGCCGTTGGGTAATCTTTCATTTCTCGATGAGTTTCACCGAGATAATTATACGAAGTCGCTAAGAGCAATGAATTACATTGTACACTTTCCTGTATTTCCAATGCTCTCTTCAAGAATTCCGGTGCTTTTTCATACTTTCCAGTTAGTCGA